GACTCATACTAATTTGAAAAATGCTCGTTTGCTAATCTCTCTAAAAGATTGGAGTATGCGTCATCTAATAATAAAGTATCTTCGTTCGCGTTGATTCCATTTTTTTGGGATTTAATATGGATCATTTCCGATGTGAGTCTTTTGTAATAATTGAATTCATGATCCAGAACGGTCACTTCATTCCAATCAAACGTGTGGTTAAATTCTAACACATGATTCGTGATGACTGAGTGTCTTGATACATCTAACATGGCATTTCTCTTGTGTTCACTGACTCTCGTTCTTATTTGTCTTTTGGTTTGGCCTACATATGAGGCATCGCAATCATTACATCGTATCTTATACACTACATTATTACTCGAATCACGATCGTCCTTATCTTTATGTCTTCTTATGAGGCGGCTTAAATTGTTTCAAACATCTGTAACCTATAATGAATTGATTTCTGTCTATCGATGACGTCACTATTTCAGATGCATTTTTTATATAAGGAAAAGCTATGATTTTTTCCCTACGCTCGTCGTGTCTACTACATTTGTTTTATCTTTCTCGGTCCTAAATAATGTTTTTAGTCTGTCTGCGTTTATTTTACTAAAAATTAATTCTAGAGGGTATCCGTTATTCAATAATGTCATTACGATAAAACGTAGGTTTTTTTGGTGGTACATAGGATGTGATAATTTAATCGCTCTATCTGTTAAACTGAAAATCGTTCCTGTTTTATGGATGTTCCGAGAAAAATGGGTGCTTGCTATCGGATAATATGGCTCTTTGCTCGACATGATCGACTATACTGATTGCTGGTTTGATTATACGAATATCCTACGAGAGACTACGAGGACTGTCCAACATTCGACAAGGTTTTCAATCGTTATATAAGTCAAGATTGCGTTTTTTATAATTACGGACTGCGGAATATTTTAGTTTATGACTTCTCAATTTACTCCACGCGTTCTTCGACTGGTTATATTAAGTACACTACGAAATTTTATAATATTAAGTTTTCATGAGCAACTACGGTTAGAATACTAATTATGTGTTAGTTATTGCGATTGATAAAGGCCGAGTAAGGCTGAAACTGGTATCACTGTTATTAATTTTTCTATGAACAAATAAA